CATCAGAGGCATCAGCGAGGTGGTCGCATAGCCTCGGTCCCTCCTTCATTACGAGCGACTGCGGTCAACTCCTGCATCTCGACCGCATCAGCGCCGTTGCTGATTTGGACGTGCTGCATCTCGACTCTCCTTCCTCTCCAGTTCGCAACATCGATCGCTTCGAGCCGAACGAATTGCATCGATACCCCTGCTCCTTGCCCCCGCCGCCACTTCAGCCACCGCAGCCATGTCCATCATACTGCCCGACTGGGTAGCGCACCACAATGACGACAAAAAGGGCAAGCTCTCCACCATCTTCAGTGTTGCCGTCCATCCCGATTCGAGCCGCCTCGCCACCGCCGGTCTAGATACCAAGATCCGCATCTGGTCCACCGCCACCATCCTCGACCCGGCAGTCGACAAGGATCCCAATTCGCATCGACTCCTCTCCACCCTCTCCAGACACACCGGCAGTGTCCTCGTAGTGCGATGGGCCAATTCGGGCCGATTCCTGGCGTCAGGCTCCGATGACACAGTCGCGCTCATCTGGGATCTCGATCCGAGCGGCATGGGCGGAGGCAGCTTCGGATCGAGCGAGGTCAACATCGAGAGCTGGAGGCCGTATCGCCGTCTGGCAGGCCACGAATCCGACGTCGTCGATCTGGCGTGGGCGGGGGATGACGAGTTCATCGCAACCGTCGGTCTCGACTCCAAGGTCATGGTCTGGTCCGGCTCCACCTTTGAACGGCTACGCACCATCGACGGCCATCAAGGCTTTGTCAAAGGCGTCGTCTTCGACCCCTTGGGCCAGTTCCTCGCCACGGCGTCCGATGACAAGACGGTCAAGGTCTGGCGCACCTCCGACTGGGGCCTCGAACGCTCCGTGACAGAACCTTTCCTCTCCAGTCCCTCGACCGCCTTCTTCCGCCGTCCGAGCTGGTCGCCCGACGGCAGCTTGCTGCTCTGCGCCAACGCCATGAGCGGGCCCGTCTTTGTTGCCAGCGTCGTCAAGAGGTCCAACTGGGACAGCGACATCTACTTTGTCGGCCACGAGAACGCCGTCGTCGTCACCGCATGCAGCCCCAAGATCTTTGTTGGTTTCGACGGCGGCACCCATTCGTGTGTCGTCGCCATGGGCTCGCTCGACCAGTCTGTCTCGATCTGGGTCACGGGCCTCGAGCAGCCCGTGCTAGTGGCCCGCGACGTGTTTGAGCGTCAAGTCATGGATCTCTCGTGGTCCGCCGACGGATACACGCTCTACGCCTGCTCTTCCGACGGCACCGTCGCCGTCTTTCGACTGTCGCCAGAACTCATCTCGGACGCTCTCAGTGCCGAACGCCTGGAGCAGTCGCGTGCAAAGCACGGCGTCAAGCGCATCCGAAACGTCGCCGCTATCTCCCACGCTGCATCGATCGCCGGAACCGCGGACCGTCCCAACGTCCTGCAACCACGCAAAGCCGGTCAGCCACAAGCAGCAAGAGCATCCGTGGCACCCGTGCCCATCGCAGGCACATTCGCCCCTGTCCGACCAGCAGCATCCAAGACCGAGCGTCTCCAGCAGACCATCACCATCACCAAGGACGGCAAGCGTCGCATCCGACCTACACTCATCGGCGACGACTTGGAGCCGCCACCGGCTTCTTCTGCTCACTATGCGCCCGCGCCCGTCGCAGCGACACATTCTTCGATGCCGACCATCCAGCAGCACCAGCTGCCAGCCATGCGCGAGGCAGTCGGCGGAACCACAACAGACGGCTTCGGAGCGGGCCCCAGCATCAACGGCGTCCACGCAGGCATGGCCAATGGCGCTTCCCACGGATCTGCCGCAGCCACCGCAGGAACGCACATCTCGATGCCTGCAATGGCTGTGCCCTCGGGCGCTGCCGCATCGATGATGCCTTATGTTCCGGTGGGCCTGCCCTTCGGAATCATGCCCGAAGGCGCCAGCCCCGAAGACATGATGCAGTTCTGGACCGAGTTCCAGCAGCGATTCATGCGCGGCAAGAAGCGCAAGGCGGACGCAGTCGAGGCCGACACCGACTCGGAGGACATCGAGCCCATCGGCAAGCTGCAGAAGGGCAAGACGCGCGCCGACATTGGCCGAACGCTGGGAGGAGAGCATCCGCGCGATCCGCCTGGTCCCAAGAAGGTGCTACGGGAAGCCCTGACCGGCGCAAGCGGCATCGTCGAGGACGGCGTTCGCAAGGGCGTGCATCTCTCTGTGCCCGAGACGCTCAGCATCTATCGCCGTGACGAAGATGGAGTGTCGATCGAGATCCGCAACTTTGACGAATCGCGGCCCACCGAGATCGCGAGGCTCGACGCTTCGGACAAGGACCGTGTACTGTGGCTCGACTTTAGTCCAACAGCAGCAACGCTGGCCACGGCGACATCCTTCTTCTCAGCAGTTGCGTTGGAGGACTCGACGGTGCTGATCTACTCTGCGCGCGGACGAAGGGTGGGCAACCTGCTGCTCGACTCGGCGTGCTATCGACTGGAGAGCAACGGAGTCGTGTTGATGGCGGTGACGGTCTCTGGGCTGATGTATAGATGGAACATCCGCGCCGACCGCGAGATCCACCGCCCGGTATCGGTGCTCAACCTGCTGGGCGATCCCGAGAACCTGTTTTCGATGTCGGTGCATGCCAACGGCGCGCCCATCGTCATCCTGCAGAGCGAGAAGGCGTACACTTTCGACGACAAGAAGCTCGGATGGGTGTGCATCAGCGACGGATGGTGGGCCGAGCACTCGGAAGCCTGGGATGGACGAACGCGCAGCCGAGGCAGCGAGGCGTCGATCCGCGATCCCGTGCGTGCGATCGAGGCGGAGATCAACACGATGTACGTGCGGCGCATCCACGGCGACAACCCGGTGGGAGCGCAGGAAGAGTCGGACTCGGACGACGAGACGCCACCGGTGGAGATGAGCGTGCCCGAAGACAAGAAGTCGGACTTTGTGATTGCGGTGACGCTGCGCCATCTGGAAGCGAGGATGCTGGCGGCGACGATCCTCGACAGCGCCAACGAGTACAAGAACCACCTGATGGCGTACACCAAGCGCATCGCCGAGGAGGGGATCAAGAACCAGGCCGAGGATCTGATCAAGGCGCTGATTGGGCCGATCTACTACAAGCCCGAAAAGGATCAGGACCAGCTGTGGGAGCCGACGATCGTGGGGCTGGACAAGCGTCAGCTGTGCAGTCAGGTGCTGCAGATCCTGGCGAGACCACGCAACTTGACATCGCTCGTCCAACCGTACCAGGAGATCTTGGCCAACATGAAGGCCTAGGCCTAGCTGCCTTTCTCTTGTGGCTCTGCTGTGTCGATGGTCCTACACGCTCACTTGTTTCTGAAATTGTATTTTTACACCAACACGGTCGACGCATGAACGAAGCTCGGGCTGTGCTGCCATCCTCAGACTGCCCCGAGGTCTGCGATGCTTGACAAGCAGGTTCGATAAGAGAGCGAGCGAGGAATCAATGGATTTTTGGCGGCGGTCTAAGTTTGTTAGGTTTGGAGGTGTGCGGTCGAGACCGAAACTGGACCAACCCAAAAAATGACTCGACCAGCGCAGAGAGAGCGCACGGATTGGAAGAAACGAGTTTTGAAATTTGGCTCGAGACTGCTGCTGCGCCTTTGGGATTTATCGTTGGCTTGGCGTGGCGAGTCGAGTCTTGAAGTGCGAGTCATGCAGCTGCTTCGATTTGATCATTCTCGCCACCAACCACCAACCACCAACCAAACAACACATCGCTTCAACATGTCATCTTCATCATCATCGTCGCCAAAGCTCAAAGTCGGACTGCTCGGTGCGACGGGCACGGTGGGACAGCGATTCATCCTGCAGCTGGCGGACCACCCGCAGTTTGAGCTGGCAGCGCTGGGAGCGTCGTCGTCGTCGGCGGGCAAGGCGTACGTAGAAGCGGTGCAGGGGAGGTGGAAGCAGATCCGCCGCGTTCCGGACAATGTGGCGCAGATGCGCGTGTACGAGTGCAAGCCCGAGCACTTTGCCGAGTGCCAGGTGGTGTTCTCGGGCCTGGATTCGGGACCTGCAGGCCCCGTGGAGGATGCGTTCCGCAAAGCCGAGCTGCGCGTGTTCTCGAATGCGAAGAACTACCGCACGGATCCGCTGTGTCCGCTGGTGGTGCCGCTGGTGAACCCGGAGCACATGGAGATCCTGCCGTTCCAAAAGCAGCAGGTGGGCACCAAGACGGGTTTTATTGTGACCAACGCCAACTGCTCGACGACGGGCATCGTGGTGCCGCTCAAGGCGCTCGAGGCCAAGTTCGGACCGCTGGACAAGATCTTGGTCAACACGATGCAGGCCATCTCGGGTGCGGGCTACCCCGGCGTCTCGTCGCTCGATATTTTGGACAACGTAGTGCCGTACATCAGCGGCGAGGAGGAGAAGATCGAGTGGGAGACGGCCAAGATCCTTGGAGGCATCAAGACGGACAAGACGGCGTTCGACTTCCACGAGGACCACCCGCTGAAAGTGTCGGCGCACTGCAACCGCGTGCCCGTCATCGACGGCCACATGGAGTGCGTGTCCGTGTCGTTCAAGAACCGCCCGGCACCGTCGGTGGAGCAGGTGAAGCAGTGCCTGCGCGAGTTTGTCACCGAGGCGCAGACGATCGGCGTGCACTCGGCACCCGCACTGGCAATCACGGTGCACGACGAGCCCGACCGCCCGCAACCGCGTCTGGACCGCGACTGGCAGAACGGCGCCGGCGTCAACGTGGGGCGCGTGCGCGAGTGCCCCGTGTTCGATATCAAGTTTGTGGTGCTCTCGAACAACGTCATGATCGGCGCGGCGACGAGCTCGGTCATGAATGCCGAGATTGCGCTGGCCAAGGGGTATCTGTCGTAGAGCTGTCTGCGTTCTATATGCAATACACGTCTGATTCTCTGGTTTGACGCCTCTGACTGTGCTAAAACGGACGAGTGCAGAGGAAAGATGCGAACAGTCTAGGGCTGTGTGCTTCGTGAGAGGAAAAGTGCAAAAAAGAAGCCGAAAAAAGTAGCTTCTGTCGGTTTCGATCCGACGACCTTTGGGTGTCGCCACTTGAGAGTGGAAAGGTTTCATAGGGTTTAGATATGAGCCCAACGCGCTACCTACTGCGCTAAGAAGCTGCTGGATGGGCAAGTGATTCGCTATTGCGTCAATAATGCTTCATTGCGAGTAGGCATGCTGCCTCGAAGATCGACGCGTCGGAACGTCATTCTCGCTCACCCTGCGCTTTGAGAAGTGCGATGAAATTTGCCTTCTGAACTGTGCGTGCGACGAAGCGACGAAGCGACAAAGCGACAAAGCGACAAATGCGACGCAGATTTGGAAAAGCGTGTTTGTCTCGATTTGCGATGCTCTGATAGGCTCACAGCGACGACCATCATCATCCTTCTTGCTCTCGACACATCCGGCAATCGCTTCGGCTGCAGCGCAACAATGCCGTCCTTGTCCTCGTCTTCCCAACCCCTCTCAGAGTCACCGCGCTCTTCCCCACCTCCATCCGACGCCGCCGCCGCTGCGCCTCCTCCGACCACACGCAAGACCGTCACGCGTCAGCGCTCCTCTTCGCTCCAAAAGGGCGCTGCTGTGCTGCGTGCGCTTTCCAGGGCCGAGTCCGACTTTGATCGCGAGATGCTCGAGAGGAGCTCGGTGTTGCAGACTCAATCCGATCCAGACAGCATCACCGCGCCCGTGCAGGATACTTTTATTACCACTTCAACAACAGCAGACATGGCGGCATCCAATGGCGACGCGGCCGATGTGCGTCGTCGTCATCGTCGCCCCCAAGCCGCCAAGCGTACCTCGAGCGGTTCGGTGTCCAAAGCGTCTCGCTCCAATGGACACGTCGCTCCGGCAAGCAGCAAGAGCTGGGAGATCCCACGCAAGATCTTCCACAGCTCCATGGGCTTCCTCGTGCTCCACCTCTACCTCTCTGACGTCGACCTCCACGTGATCGTCCGCAACCTCTCGTACTTCCTCGGCATCGTCGTCACCGCCGACGTCATCCGCCTCAACAACGACCACTTTGAAAAGATCTACGAGCGCGTGCTCGGCTTCCTCATGCGCGAATCCGAAAAGGACAAGGTCAACGGCGTCGTGTGGTACCTCGTCGGCGTCATCACCTCGCTCCACTTCTTCCCGGAGGACATTGCGTGCGTGTCCGTCATGCTCCTCTCGTGGAGCGACACGTGCGCCTCCACCTTTGGCAGGGCGTTTGGGCGGTACACGCCGCCGCTGCCCTCGCCGCCGTTCGCGCGGCGCAAGTCGGCGGCTGGCTTCGTGGCGGCGATCGTCAGCGGTGCGCTCACGTCGTACGTGTTCTGGTGCACCTCGATCGCGTCGCGCGGCATGCGCACC